CCGATATATATATATATATATATATATATATATATATATATATATATATATATATATATATATATATATATATATATATATATGTATATATATATATATATATATATATATATATATATATATATATATATATATATATATATATATTATATATATATATATATATATATATATATATATATATATATATATATATATATATATATATATATATATATATTATATATATATATATATATATATATATATATATATATATATATATATATATATATATATATATATATATATATATATATATATATATATATATATATATACTCTGTCAAAAAAGTTTTTAACTACCTGTTATGTACATTTTTCAGATGTGATAACTTTTTATTCAGCAAAGATATAAGAACAATTTAAACTGAATTATATCAGATAATTATTCAAGAAGTATTGTATAAAAAGACTTTACAAAATAATAAATAAAAAATAAAATACAGCATTTTAAAATAAACAATGTCCGTTTTAGCGACAAAAAAGTTTTCATTTTTAAAATATAAATTAGATTTAGTAAGATTTTTGTATCATTGTTTCTTTATATGAATCTTTATATTTTTTATTTGTGTTAGATTATTAACAAAAAATGAGAGTTGCAGAGGAAATTAGATCGCTTATTGTTAGACTATGTACGGAGGGAAAAATCGCAGCGAAAAATAGGAGAAATAGTAAAGAAATCACGTGCAACTGTGCAGTCAATTATCAAGAAATACCAAACGATCAAAAAAATTTCTGATAAGCTATAAACAGGACATCCAAATAAAATTCAAGTATTGCATCAATGAGCTATTTTTAGAACAGTCATCCAAAATCCTAAAATAAGTGCTCTGAAACTTGCTAGAATGCTAAAAAACGATTACAATTTAAAAGTGGACCCTGAAACAGTTAGAATAATCTTAAAAAAAGCTGGATACAATAGTAGAGTACTATTGAAAAAACCCTACATTAGTAAAGTCAACAAAGCCAAACGACTACACTTTGCGAAACTTTATATTAATGAACCACAAACATTCTGGGAAATGTTCCTTTTCAGCAATGAGTCAAATTTTAATGTGTTTCATCAGATGGAAGAGTTAAACTTTGGAGAAAACCAAATGAAGCATTTAAAAAACAAAACTTGTGTCCAACAATGAAGCATGGTGGAGGAAGTGTTTTAGTGTAGAGGTGTATGAGTGCTTCAGGTGTAGGTAACTTGGTTTTCGTTAATGGAAATATGGATCAAAATGCGTATTCAAACATTTTAAAAAATAATCTGGTAGAAAATGCGCACAAATTGGGACTTATTAGGTCATTTATTTTTTAGCAAGATAATGATCCAAAATAAACAGCTAAACATGTCAAAGAATGACTTATATTGAATATAGCTAAGCAACTTCATACACCCCTGCAATCTTAAGATTTGAATCCTATCGAACATCTGTGTGATGAATTAGGTAGAAGAATTAGCACCCACAATGTTAGGAATAAACAACAACTACAATTAGTAATTATGAAAGAGTGGGGCTTAATCACTTCAGAAATTACCAAAAAATTATTTGGTTCTATGAAAAACAGACTACACGAAGTAATAAAAGCTCGTGGTGGAAACACAAGTAATTAAAATACAACAAATTGAGTTCGAAAACAATTTTATTTGATTTTTGTAAAGTGGATGAAAACTTTTTTGGGACAAAAATATCTATCTTTCATTCTGAAATGTTGTATTTTATTTGTTACTCATTTAAAAAAATACTTTTGTACAATATTTCTTAAATGTTTAAATGATATGATTTAGTTTATATCATGATAACATCTTTGCTGAATAAAAATTTATTGCATTTTTAAAATGTGCAAGATAGGTATGAAAACTTTTTTGACACAGTGTATATATCAAGCCTTCCCAGTAAGCAAGTGCAGTCGCATGCCTTGTTTGTCCATGCTTGAAGTAATTTTTAGACAACTTGACCACGTTTTTATATAATAAGCATTTTAAGAATTAGCAGCAAAATAAAGCTATAAGAAACAAAAAAGAATAAAATAGCAATACCGGAAAAAAAGAACCAAAGAAATAGAAAATCTAAATAAAATTAGCTAAAAAAATGGAATATTAAAAAAAAAAACTGTTGTCAAAAAAATATTATATCTAAATATTTCATTGTTTTGGTTTTCTTATTTTTAAGGCGTTTGTTATTTTCCACTAATAAAATTGATACAAGTTGCTGAAAAAATTAGGTAAGAATGTAACGAAAATAAAAATATTTTTTGATCAACAATTTTTTCGCAACTTTTTTCAGTCAGTATATTAAGGAAATATTTTATTATTTGCTCTAGAAACATAATCAATTTTTAAATTTGTTTTTCAAATATTTTTGCTAAACTTTACTGTTTTTATCGATTCACAGGAAAGTGAGAAAACTAATAGCTATTTATTTTTAAAAAAAAAAATTTTGAACAAGTTTTTCATGTAAAAAAATTAATACTAATATTTAAATATAAAACATTTGGTTGTTTTTGATACTCCTATTGAAATAGCCTGCACTTTTGTAGGATTATCCAAATTGTGCCTTTAAACACAAAAGTTTTTTTCCTGATGAACTATTGCTATTGACGTTGCTCTAAAATTAGGCTAGTGCACTGTTACTTTATTGAACTTTTTTAACAAAATGTTTAGAAGCATTTTTGAACAAAATGTTTACTTGCTTTTATTCAAGTTTTTAAATACATTTTTTTAAACAGAGCAATCATTATGTTCAATGTTATTCTTATTAACATTGGAAATTGGGCATTATAAAAGAAACAATTCCAGGCATGTGGTAAATACATTTATTTAAGAAACCATGTTATTCTTTTATCTAATTTATTCAATTATTACAAAAATTATTAATCAAATAATATATTTTACAAATAAATAAAAAAAAATTTATTTTCCTATTATAAAAGTATTGAAAAAAAAATGTTTGCTATACAAAAACATTTTTAAAAGTGAAAAGACGTACAAAACGAATAAACATAAGAAAAAAAATTAACAAAATTTCTCATAGTTTTAGCATACATAGCAAATTAGTTTCTTTATTATATGGACTGATAAATATCGTGAATAAATTGCATATCAAAGCTTCAATTTTTGCAATTTTAAATCGTTTTCAATTTTAAATCGTTATAAAAGAGTTTTTTTTCAACAATGACTCTAAAAAAAAAGAATACAAAGTTGTATAAAAAAATTATAAAAAAAAGATTTTTTTTTTTACTTTTTTAATTATTACATTTTCTTGTTTATTTCATTAAAGTTGATATTTCGTTACAATTTTGTTACCTTTTTTTAGGATTGTTTTTATTTTCTAAATAGATAAGCTTTTTGAAATGCTTTATAAGTTAAAAGATGCAAACTGCTGTGGTCAGTTTGTCTAAAAAATTACTTTAAATGTGGACAAACAAGGCATGCAACCCCACTCACTTCCCGAGAAGGTTTGATATATACTATAAAATTCATGAATCCCTTGTAAATAGCCCTCATTTCACCTTATCTGACATGGTTCTCACATACACTTGTCAATATAAAAACTTGGTCATTTGATCTCAAACGATATGCAGGATGATAAAGATATCTTAAAACACATACGTTTTATGTATGCTAAAGCAAACCTCATCCATAGAAAGTTCAGTTCTACACAAATAAAAACAAAGATCATGTTATTTAATGCCTTTTGCAGCCCAACCTATGGATGTCAGTTATGGTATCTTTGTAGAAAAGACTTATTTCATCGTCTTTGTGTTGCATATAATAATGGACTTCGCTAGATATTGTCATAAAAGCTTTTGTTAACTCTGAGAGGTTCTTGCAGTCTCCATTGTTATTTAAATGGAGAGCTAAGCTATATTTATAACACTTTTTTTTTTCCCCTGGATTTTGTTTATATTCAAGTGTATTATTTTTTTATAACCACTTTCTTTTACCCATTGTATATTTATTATATTGGACCTTGAGCCTGTCAATAAATATGATTGATTGATTGATATACATGTATACACACCAGTGACATATCCAGAAATTTTTCACGCATACCGGTCTAAAAATCCTGCCTACCTTAAAAGGACCTTTTTTTTTTTTTACACAAATTAAATAAAATTATTTATATATAATATAACTTGCCTTAACATTTTACATTTTTCCTATTAAAAATGTAAATAATTAACCAAAATAATATTACATTTAATAAAAAATGACGGCTTTAACGCCAACATCAATTCGTTGCTAATTTTCATTTACTTGCTTTATTCGCTTACTAATATAAAGACTATATTTTCATAAACAAGCGATAACTATAACATTTGACAATCAATATTTGTATTTTTCTTTTATATAGACTTAAAAAGATTTATTACATTGCGTATTTATTGCATAACAAGGTCAATTCATTCAAAATTTTAATTCATATATTCAAAAATTAATAATATTTTTTTTATTGTTCTACTCTTATTTTTAAAATCATGTTATTATGTTTTAAACATTTATTTGTTTTATTATTTAAAAATATTTTTAATGCAATTTTATTGTTATTTGAAATGAAAAAGTTTAAAGCTCATATAGTTTAATCGCTTTGAAAACTATGTTATGAAAACGTAAGCGGAGGAGAAACTCAAATTAGAGTATCTTAAAAATGTTAATGTTTTTATTTAAAAATGCTAAGCGTTTTATATTTTAATCCAAGTACAACATATTCCATATTTCATCAACAAATTAGGCATTCTGATTGACTTAAAATACATTTATGTGTTTTAAAAGTCATTTTTTAAATATTGGTTTTTCTAAGCGACATTAATAACATAACAAATTTTATCATCATAATCAGCATCATAATTATCAAAACAAATTTTATCACAGAACAGCAAGACAAGTAATAAAAAATTATATTATTTCAATTTTTTAGGTGCTGATATAAATAACGTGTTTATTTATCAGATATATAGAAAATTAC